GTTGCTGTCTGAGGCGTGTTGGTGTCTGTGACGTGTTGGTGTCTGAGGCGTGTTGGTGTCTGAGGCGTGTTGGTGTCTGAGGCGTGTTGGTGTCTGAGGCGTGTTGGTGTCTCAGCCGTGTTTGTGTCTCAGCCGTGTTTGTGTCTGAGGCGTGTTGGTGTCTGAGGCGTGTTGGTGTCTGAGGCGTGTTGGTGTCTGAGGCGTGTTGGTGTCTGAGGCGTGTTGGTGTCTGTGACGTGTTGGTGTCTGAGGCGTGTTGGTGTCTGAGGCGTGTTGGTGTCTGAGACGTGTTGGTGTCTGTGGCGTGTTGCTGTCTCAGCCGTGTTGGTGTCTCAGCCGTGTTTGTGTCTCAGCCGTGTTGGTGTCTGTGGCGTGTTGGTGTCTGTGACGTGTTGGTGTCTGAGGCGTGTTGGTGTCTGAGGCGTGTTGGTGTCTGAGGCGTGTTGGTGTCTGAGGCGTGTTGGTGTCTCAGCCGTGTTTGTGTCTCAGCCGTGTTTGTGTCTGTGGCGTGTTGGTGTCTCAGGCGTGTTGGTGTCTGAGGCGTGTTGGTGTCTGAGGCGTGTTGGTGTCTGAAGCGTGTTGCTGTCTGTGACGTGTTGCTGTCTGTGACGTGTTGGTGTCTGAGACGTGTTGGTGTCTGAGGCGTGTTGGTGTCTGAGGCGTGTTGGTGTCTGAGGCGTGTTGGTGTCTGAGGCGTGTTGGTGTCTCAGCCGTGTTTGTGTCTCAGCCGTGTTTGTGTCTGTGGCGTGTTGGTGTCTGAGGCGTGTTGGTGTCTGAGGCGTGTTTGTGTCTGAGGCGTGTTGGTGTCTGAGGCGTGTTGGTGTCTGTGACGTGTTGGTGTCTGAGGCGTGTTGGTGTCTGTGACGTGTTGGTGTCTGTGGCGTGTTGGTGTCTGTGGCGTGTTGCTGTCTGTGGCGTGTTCCTGTCTGTGGCGTGTTGGTGTCTGTGACATGTTGGTGTCTGTGACGTGTTGGTGTCTGTTGGTGTCTGAGGCGTGTTGGTGTCTGAGGCGTGTTGGTGTCTGAGGCGTGTTGGTGTCTGTGGCGTGTTGCTGTCTGTGGCGTGTTGGTGTCTGTGGCGTGTTGGTGTCTGTGACGTGTTGGTGTCTGAGGCGTGTTGGTGTCTGAGGCGTGTTGGTGTCTGTGGAATGTTGGTGTCTCAGCCGTGTTTGTGTCTGTGGCATGTTGGTGTCTGAGGCGTGTTGGTGTCTGTGGAATGTTGGTGTCTCAGCCGTGTTTGTGTCTGTGGCATGTTGGTGTCTGTGACGTGTTGGTGTTTGAGGCGTGTTGGTGTCTGTGACGTGTTGGTGTCTGTGACATGTTGGTGTCTGAGGCGTGTTGGTGTCTGTGACGTGTTGGTGTCTGAGGCGTGTTGGTGTCTGAGGCGTGTTGGTGTCTGAGACGTGTTGGTGTCTCAGCCGTGTTGGTGTCTGAGACGTGTTGGTGTCTCAGCCGTGTTGGTGTCTCAGCCGTGTTGGTGTCTGTGGCGTGTTGGTGTCTGTGACGTGTTGGTGTCTGTGACGTGTTGGTGTCTGAGGCGTGTTTGTGTCTGAGGCGTGTTGGTGTCTGAGGCGTGTTTGTGTCTCAGCCGTGTTTGTGTCTGTGGCGTGTTGGTGTCTGAGGCGTGTTGGTGTCTGAGGCGTGTTGGTGTCTGAGGCGTGTTGGTGTCTGTGACGTGTTGCTGTCTGAGGCGTGTTGGTGTCTGTGACGTGTTGGTGTCTGTGGCGTGTTGGTGTCTGTGGCGTGTTGGTGTCTGTGACGTGTTGGTGTCTGTGACGTGTTGGTGTCTGAGGCGTGTTTGTGTCTGAGGCGTGTTGGTGTCTGAGGCGTGTTTGTGTCTCAGCCGTGTTTGTGTCTGTGGCGTGTTGGTGTCTGAGACGTGTTGGTGTCTGAGGCGTGTTGGTGTCTGAGGCGTGTTGGTGTCTGAGGCGTGTTGGTGTCTGAGGCGTGTTGGTGTCTGAGACGTGTTGGTGTCTCAGCCGTGTTGGTGTCTGAGACGTGTTGGTGTCTCAGCCGTGTTTGTGTCTCAGCCGTGTTGGTGTCTGTGGCGTGTTGGTGTCTGTGACGTGTTGGTGTCTGAGGCGTGTTGGTGTCTGAGGCGTGTTGGTGTCTGAGGCGTGTTGGTGTCTCAGCCGTGTTTGTGTCTCAGCCGTGTTTGTGTCTGTGGCGTGTTGGTGTCTCAGGCGTGTTGGTGTCTGAGGCGTGTTGGTGTCTGAGGCGTGTTGGTGTCTGTGACGTGTTGGTGTCTGAGGCGTGTTGCTGTCTGAGGCGTGTTGGTGTCTGTGACGTGTTGGTGTCTGAGGCGTGTTGGTGTCTGAGGCGTGTTGGTGTCTGAGGCGTGTTGGTGTCTGAGGCGTGTTGGTGTCTCAGCCGTGTTTGTGTCTCAGCCGTGTTTGTGTCTGAGGCGTGTTGGTGTCTGAGGCGTGTTGGTGTCTGAGGCGTGTTGGTGTCTGAGGCGTGTTGGTGTCTGAGGCGTGTTGGTGTCTGTGACGTGTTGGTGTCTGAGGCGTGTTGGTGTCTGAGGCGTGTTGGTGTCTGAGACGTGTTGGTGTCTGTGGCGTGTTGCTGTCTCAGCCGTGTTGGTGTCTCAGCCGTGTTTGTGTCTCAGCCGTGTTGGTGTCTGTGGCGTGTTGGTGTCTGTGAGTGTTGGTGTCTGAGGCGTGTTGGTGTCTGAGGCGTGTTGGTGTCTGAGGCGTGTTGGTGTCTGAGGCGTGTTGGTGTCTCAGCCGTGTTTGTGTCTCAGCCGTGTTTGTGTCTGTGGCGTGTTGGTGTCTCAGGCGTGTTGGTGTCTGAGGCGTGTTGGTGTCTGAGGCGTGTTGGTGTCTGAAGCGTGTTGCTGTCTGTGACGTGTTGCTGTCTGTGACGTGTTGGTGTCTGAGACGTGTTGGTGTCTGAGGCGTGTTGGTGTCTGAGGCGTGTTGGTGTCTGAGGCGTGTTGGTGTCTGAGGCGTGTTGGTGTCTCAGCCGTGTTTGTGTCTCAGCCGTGTTTGTGTCTGTGGCGTGTTGGTGTCTGAGGCGTGTTGGTGTCTGAGGCGTGTTTGTGTCTGAGGCGTGTTTGTGTCTGAGGCGTGTTGGTGTCTGTGACGTGTTGGTGTCTGTGACGTGTTGGTGTCTGTGGCGTGTTGGTGTCTGTGGCGTGTTGGTGTCTGTGGCGTGTTGCTGTCTGTGGCGTGTTGGTGTCTGTGACATGTTGGTGTCTGTGACGTGTTGGTGTCTGTTGGTGTCTGAGGCGTGTTGGTGTCTGAGGCGTGTTGGTGTCTGAGGCGTGTTGGTGTCTGTGGCGTGTTGCTGTCTGTGGCGTGTTGGTGTCTGTGGCGTGTTGGTGTCTGTGACGTGTTGGTGTCTGAGGCGTGTTGGTGTCTGAGGCGTGTTGGTGTCTGTGGAATGTTGGTGTCTCAGCCGTGTTTGTGTCTGTGGCATGTTGGTGTCTGAGGCGTGTTGGTGTCTGTGGAATGTTGGTGTCTCAGCCGTGTTTGTGTCTGTGGCATGTTGGTGTCTGTGACGTGTTGGTGTTTGAGGCGTGTTGGTGTCTGTGACGTGTTGGTGTCTGTGACATGTTGGTGTCTGAGGCGTGTTGGTGTCTGTGACGTGTTGGTGTCTGAGGCGTGTTGGTGTCTGAGGCGTGTTGGTGTCTGAGACGTGTTGGTGTCTCAGCCGTGTTGGTGTCTGAGACGTGTTGGTGTCTCAGCCGTGTTGGTGTCTCAGCCGTGTTGGTGTCTGTGGCGTGTTGGTGTCTGTGACGTGTTGGTGTCTGTGACGTGTTGGTGTCTGAGGCGTGTTTGTGTCTGAGGCGTGTTGGTGTCTGAGGCGTGTTTGTGTCTCAGCCGTGTTTGTGTCTGTGGCGTGTTGGTGTCTGAGGCGTGTTGGTGTCTGAGGCGTGTTGGTGTCTGAGGCGTGTTGGTGTCTGTGACGTGTTGCTGTCTGAGGCGTGTTGGTGTCTGTGACGTGTTGGTGTCTGTGGCGTGTTGGTGTCTGTGACGTGTTGGTGTCTGTGACGTGTTGGTGTCTGAGGCGTGTTGTGTCTGAGGCGTGTTGGTGTCTGAGGCGTGTTTGTGTCTCAGCCGTGTTTGTGTCTGTGGCGTGTTGGTGTCTGAGGCGTGTTGGTGTCTGAGGCGTGTTGGTGTCTGAGGCGTGTTGGTGTCTGTGACGTGTTGCTGTCTGAGGCGTGTTGGTGTCTGAGGCGTGTTGGTGTCTGAGACGTGTTGGTGTCTCAGCCGTGTTGGTGGCTGAGACGTGTTGGTGTCTCAGCCGTGTTTGTGTCTCAGCCGTGTTGGTGTCTGAGGCGTGTTGGTGTCTGAGGCGTGTTTGTGTCTGAGGCGTGTTGGTGTCTGAGGCGTGTTGGTGTCTCAGCCGTGTTGGTGTCTGTGACGTGTTGGTGTCTCAGCCATGTTTGTGTCTGTGGCGTGTTGGTGTCTCAGGCGTGTTGGTGTCTGAGGCGTGTTGGTGTCTGAGGCGTGTTTGTGTCTGAGGCGTGTTGGTGTCTGTGACGTGTTGGTGTTTGCGGCGTGGCGTGTTTGTTTCTAAGGCGTGACGTGTCGGTGTCTCAGGCATGTTGGTGTCTGTGGCGTGTTGGTGTCTGAGCCGTGTTGGTGTCTGTGGCGTGTTGGTGTCTGAGGCGTGTTGGTGTCTGTGACGTGTTGGTGTCTGTGGCGTGTTGGTGTCTGAGGCGTGTTGGTGTCTGAGGCGTGTTGGTGTCTGTGACGTGTTGGTGTCTGAGGCGTGTTGGTGTCTGTGGCGTGTTGGTGTCTGAGGCGTGTTGGTGTCTGTGACGTGTTGGTGTCTGAGGCGTGTTGGTGTCTGTGACGTGTTGGTGTCTCAGGCGTGTTGGTGTCTGTGGCGTGTTGGTGTCTGTGGCGTGTTGGTGTCTGTGGCGTGTTGGTGTCTCAGGCGTGTTGGTGTCTGTGACGTGTTGGTGTCTGAGGCGTGTTGGTGTCTGTGACGTGTTGGTGTCTGCGGCGTGGCGTGTTTGTTTCTAAGGCGTGACGTGTCGGTGTCTCAGGCATGGCGTGTTTGTTTCTAAGGCGTGACGTGTTTGTGTCTCAGGTGTGGCGTTCGGTGGGCTGGCGTCTCATCGCTCTTTCCATCTCTCTGTACGGTCTCCTCTACCTGTACGAGAAACTCACCTGGACCGACGCCAGCAGAGAGCGCGTTCTGAAGCAGCAGTTTGTGGAGCATGCCACCCACCGCCTGAGAGCCGTCATCCCCGTCTGCAGCTCCGCCTGCAGCCAGCAGGTGTACAAGTAAGACACCCCCCCCCCCCCCCCCCCCCCGACACAAACTGAGTGAGCGAGCGAACACCTGCTGAGTGTGAAACTAAAACTGGCCTGTTGTGTTTGTGTTTGAGGGAGCTGTCGTCCACATTCAGCCGTCTGACTCAGAGAGTCGATCTGAGTGAAGCTGAGCTGGAGGGAAACATCCGGCAGCTGAGCTTCAGGATCCAGAGACTGGAGAACATCCAGAGGAGGTCCAAGGCCTTCAGGTGGGGGAAGGTGTCAGACTTAACAACCAGTTTTCTTTAATTCCACCATAAATACACTGAATCACACATAAAACATGTCCTGTGAAAACAAAACGCTCCCTGTAAAGTCACTAATGCTGTTAAATAAATGTAGTGAACACTTATAAAGAATGTAAAGAAAAAACAACTTCCTGTGTTTCTTACTGGAAGCTTGACTGAACCGGATGAATCCAGTTGAACTAAAGTTTCCTCTCTGCTTCAGGAACAGAGCCACGGAGCTGGAGACTCAGCTGGAGGCCTTTTCTGTTCAGTACCTGCAGGGAAACTGAAGTGAGCGGCGCCCCTGCTGTTCAGGTCTAACGGTGTCACACAGAACTGATGCTGCAGTGATCAGCTGACGTGGACTGTAATATTTGACCTGTTTAAGACAACAAACTGTGATCAGAGTCCTGCTGATCTGATCTGGGAGCTGGTGTTACCTGAACTAGCAGCTAATCCTCACCTAACCTGTTAGCGTCATAGATCAATATATCTGTGGGTTGTTTCTGATCAGTGAAATAAATCACGTTCGTTCTTCTGTGATGTCACAGATCAGAGTGACGCTGCAGTCTGTCGTGGTCCCGAACATCACTTCCTGTTTTGTACGGCGCTCTGTATTTAGCGAATAGGAGGCCGGAGCTGACGTCGGGCTGCCGTCACACAAACCAGCAGGTATCTTTGTGGAGTGAAGAGCTGCTCGCTGTCAGAGTTTTAGATGTCTGAACGAGTTCACGTGATGCGAGAGAAGATCGATCCTGTTGTTGCTGCTGCAGGAGAGGACGGACGGACAGATGAGACAGTAGATGGACGCACGGACAGGTGAGACGGTAGACAAACGGACGCACAGGCAGGTGAGACGTAGACGGACAGACAGATGAGACGTAGACGGACAGACAGGTGAGATGTGGACGGACGGACACACAGACAGGTGAGACGTTGACGGACGAACGCACAGACAGGTGAGACGTAGACGGACAGACAGGTGAGACATAGACGGACGAACGCACAGACAGGTGAGACGTAGACGGACAGACAGGTGAGACGGACAGACGGACAGACAGGTGAGACGTGGATGGACGAACGCACAGACAGGTGAGACGTAGACGGACAGACAGATGAGACGTAGATGGACGGACAGACAGGTGAGACGGACAGACGGACAGACAGGTGAGACGGCAGATGGACGCACAGACAGGTGAGACGTAGACGGACAGACCGACAGACAGGTGAGACGTAGATGGACGGACAGACAGGTGAGACGGAGACTGTTCTTCTTCTCGTCGGCTCGATGTGTTCAGGTAAGAAACACCTGCAGCTTCCGTTTCCTGTCGGCCGCTCACAGAGAAACCAGGACCTCGATCCTGATCGGGTCTTCATCAGTTCACGCTGACAGACCGATGACATCACGATGACATCATGGCTGACAGGCGAGTGAATTAGACTTTCTGACCGCTCAGATTTCAGAGTTTTCTGAACTGAACACGTGGCACCAGTTTGACTCCCTGCAGCTGACGGAGCAGCTCGGCGACTCACCGCCGCCCTCCAGTGGCTGAACCCTGCAGGTGAAACTGACTTGATGCGTTTCAGACCAATGAGGAGAGACTTCAGGTTCTGCATCAGCTGTTTAATCTCTAAATGATCAGTTTACATGTGATTATTGTCTGTACAGTCATTTACATGAGAAACATCAGAACGCAGCTGACAGGAAGTTAAAGACAAAGATTCACGCTCCTTACACGCTCACGGATCAGCCAATCGCATCACCTCAGGGAAAACTTCAGGATGTGAAACTGAACATGTCGAACCCGTCAGGCGGCCGAAAAACATAACTGATCCTCAGAATCGTCTCCGATCCTTCTCTGAACCTGAAGTTTGTGAATCTTCCCTTTAGACGCTTCTTCAGCAGCAACATGTGACCCGAGCGTGAAAGACGAAGCGCTCGACGCCCTGCAGCTTCAGGAAGCAGTCACTACGTCCTGTTAATCTACATCAGCTTTCCTGTTGCTTTACTGTTTTATAACCTAATAAACAATTTAGTCAATGTTAGACTTCAGTTTGTGCGATAGATTAGATTAGAAAAGGCCCGATCCAACTCCAGGTCGTCACATACGGAGGCTCAGTCAACACCCCTTGGCGCCGGTTTGTGTCGCTGTAGGAGGCGTCGTAGCAGACCGGCGCTCGGTCAACATTAATTGTTTTTAGTAGCATTACTTAACTTAAAGAAGTTATTTTAAGCCGTTCAGGGCTGTCGGTTCATAACGTGGTGGATCGATATATTTGACCGTCACAACCCGAGCGAAATGACCAGAACGTGATCCATTCGGTCGGTAACATTTGAAAACGCTGCTGCCGACTAGCGTTTGGGTGTGACTGCAGATTGACGGAGACACGGACGCGAGTATAAATGCGTGGCCCCTACGCAGGAGAATAAATCAAGTCACACTCAGAGAACATGGACTTCTGTAAACGTTGTGAGACCTGCAAAAAGCTTTTGTATTGAAGCATCTGCTAAGAAACGTGAAACTGGAACCGGCAGCTAACGGTCCTGCCGGTGAAGGTCAATCGACGTTCTCTTACGAACGCGTGTGCAGAACAGTAACGTTCGATTTTTTAAAATCGTTACATGCTCGGTAAAAATGATGCCGCTGTTTAGACGCGATCCGTTAAAAAGTCGGGGGGAGCTGCTTTGTTTTTGATTACTTTGAAACGGCCTGTAGGATCCAGCAGGCCGCAGTGTTCTCAGCTCGGCCGCTCGTTGCCTCCTCAGGTTCACGATTGTTCCACTAAAGTGGATTCATTTCTAAAACGAACAGCTTTCTGTCACTTTAAGGACGGCTGCGGCGGTTGAAAGTAACTGTAACGGGACTGTTTACTTTTAATAGCCAGTAATAAGGAAAGTAAAGTTGTTGGTTTTTAATTTAACTCGACACAGCAGCTGGATGTGATCCTCCGTGAAGACAGAGCGCTGCTTCCTGCCCCCTGGTTGGACATCTCGGTGATGACGCTGCACAGAAACCCGTCTATTGCTTCTGACGCGTCGCCGGAGACGTCCGTGAGTGTTAAAAAGTAAAAAGCGGCATTCAGGTTCAGAAGTGTGTTGTTGTTCATCTCCACGGCCGCAGCAGGAGGCAGGAAGTGCGTCAAAGGGTCTAAATAGTAGCAGAAGTAGACTCTAGAGCGTCTTGGTGAATCTGGCGCACACGGTTATAACGCGGCCCTAATATATATTGTTGCTAACTTCACCGCCGAGCCCTGCAGGTGCAAAAACAACAGCAGGGAGTTAAAAGCGCCGCCGCCGCCATGGGGTCTTGACCCAGCGTCCATATGATACGAGCCGGGAGTGCGAAGGTGTTGGGAAAGGGCTAACGCTAAGTCTAGAGCTAACAATAAAAGGTCACACAAAGCAGGTGACTTTTCTGTATTTGCAGTTTCCTTCATCTGCAGAAGTCTCAAAAACCTACGTTAATTATTCAGGTTTTTATAAAACCAAACCTGGAACAAAGTGTTTGCTACTGAATAAATATTGATTAACGTGACTGAAAGGAGTACAGGATATACTTGGTGGTTAAAATGCGATCATTAATATTTGATGCTGTATAAATATTTTCTGCTGCTTTGACTAAATGTGTTTATTTCATGCGTCGAGCAGCGAGCAAGTTTAAACCTGCTGTTCCTGTTTTTACCTGCAGGAGGCGACAACACGCGGCTGTCCCAGGTGACTTTTTACCTCGTCGGTTCCTGACCGGGCGTCGCTTCGCTCCTGATAATCAGTTTTATGGCTTTAAACGTTTAAAGAGAACAAAGTGACGGAAACAAACCAGTTTGAGCTTCAGCAGACAGTATTTCATAGTACTTCAGGTGGAGCCAACTGCAGTTTGTCACTTTAGTCTCATCAGAGTCAGTGTTATTATATCTTCCTCCTCCTCTTCATCACTGACCTCCCTGAGCGTTTCCCATCAAGCTAAACTTTATATTTTATTTCATCTTCAAACTAAGATTTGAGACGTTAAAAGAAAGTTTATTTAAAGTGAGACAACCTGAACTGTCTCTACAGAATAATCGCGCCTCGAGCTCGAGTTAGTACGAGGGCCGAGTCTGCCACATTTAATCAGTGAATACAGACATAAACAATGCTCAATAAACAAACATCCTATTAAATGCACCAAAAATACATTAAAAAAAAGAATGTAGGGGAAAATTAAAGTATACAATGAGACATGATACTTACTTATTTATTATCCTTTATAATTTTCAATTATATTTGACTTAATATAATCGAAAATTATAAAGGAGAATTAATAAATAAGAAATCAATACAAAGGTGACGCAAATTAAAATCCTATTAAATGCACTACAATATATTAATGTAGGGGTTTTAAATTATCCAGTGAGACATAAATAGATTTCCTTTATAATTTTGAATTACCTTAAAACAAAAGCATAAATAAATAAATAATATATATAAAAAACTGAATTAATAAATTGAAAATCATAAAGAAAAATAAATTAATATGGTATTAAGGGGGAGGAGTTTTAGATAAAAAAGATCAATTGAATAATTTAATTTTTAAATTGTATTTTTATTAGAGGTTTATTAATTTACTGAGTTTTTTTGGTTTTATTCATTTCGATTGTAGAAACATAAACATGGTCAGATTTCTAATAATATTCATTATTACTGATCATATTCAAATCGGTCACATGTTCTAATCCGAGTTCCTTTACATTATGGCACTCAAAACAAAAACTGAAAAACGAAACTCTGGCATTCATTATTCTTAAATTTTGATATGTTTTTTCATATTTTTCAGTTTTAAACTCTTTGGGGTTCCATGAGTTCACCTGAACTCCAGGACTGCAGGTGTGTTACGTCTGTTTCTCACATAGAACCAGGACTGAGGGACGCCACGCTGGCAGAGATCCGCTGGAACAAGCGCTAACGTTAGCTTGCACGTCAGCTAACTAACGTTTGGTTTTATTTGAAAACGACGGCAGAAACAGTCGTGTGGACTCGTGGAAGCCGTCAGAGAGGACGCTGCCTCAGGAAGGGTTTTCTCATTAGTATGCAGATTGTCTTTGCCTCAACGCCAAAGACGGTGACGGGAACTGAAAACCAGTGACTGAAAAACATCAATAATTAACTAAACTGAGAACGCTGCCATGTTTCAATGTTCCCCAAACGTTCATAAAGGAGGAAACTTTACAGAAAGTTTTCATAAATAAAATCATCTCAAATCGTTTAATTCTTAATAACTCTGCTAACTTTTCTTTCACTTCCCGTCTCCGGATGAAGAAGCCTGACT